GCTTCACCTCTTATCAATGAGCCATTAAATGGAACACCTGAGTCTATCATTTTGCGGCACCAAGCAAATTCTTTATCAGAAAATTCTGAAAATTTATCCTTATTTGGAACCTTAATCCGATTGGCTAAATCACTTCTATTTTCTTGATCAAGAATAAAAAAATTCCGTTTCTTAAGGTGACTTACATACTGTTGAGTAATTCCATAACGATGAGCAATTGATTCCTGACTATTTTAATTTTTTCAACTAAGTTTAGTGCCATTTTGATTGTTTACATAAATCAAAATTGATAAAAAGTTCTGCGATAGTGCTTTTCTTCATTATCCATAGATGGCGATTAAACAAAAATACAAGAGAACCGAGTAAAAAAGAACCGAGTTCTTTACTGTACTTCTTATTGCATTAATAATATTTGTTTATCCGCAAGAAGCAAAAAATTGCAAAAAGCGTTTAATCAAGGCTCTATTTACTATAAAAGGTTTTATAAGATTGTAACTGAGCGGAATTATATTAATTATACTCAATCAGTAATCACAATGGTATCTCAATCTAATATGTAGTTGGAATGAAGTAGACAAATATTATTTGATTAATTGAATTCAAAATTCTTTTATTTTCATTTTTTCACATTCTATTGAATGAAGAAATCACATATATTGAAGTCAAATCAATCCCGGAATAATAGCACCCCCCAAAAGACCTCCTTTTCTCATAGGGACGCTGCCATTGTTAGGCAAGGTACCAGCAAGAGGACCAAGTGGACCTTGTGTTTGAGCATCAATCAGACCGATGAAGGCAACGAGAGTAATAAAGAGGCAGATGTATACAATTTTTGTAGATTGCATTTTGAATAACTATTTTATAGTTTTTAGTAGACTGGAAACAAAATAAGACTTTATGAGCTAAAAAAGCAACTGATACCATTTCTTCAACTTGAATGTCTTTTTATACCCTGCCTTCATCTGTTTAAATACTTAATTTTCTTTACTTTTAACCATTTATTTTTATTAGACGATAAAACTAACATTTAAGGCAGTATAGTATACTGTTTTTATTTGATCAGTGTTCGGAATGTTTATTCATCATCAATAGATCATTGTTTCATTCAATGTCAAAAGATTTCAATGTTTGGTTATAAATTTTAAATACGCGTGCATAATTTTGTAACCTTCTTAAATAGCTATATCTTGTTAGAGACATAAATTAAGCGCTCTTTATTTATTTAGCCAAAACAAATACTGATTGACCCAATATCCGGAGAAAAGATGTGAAAGCTCAAATATTGGCTATATGCATTCTCTGTTTATGGCTTGAAACAAATATACTATTTCATGAAATTTCTGAAAATTATCAATTATTGGGAATTCATTCTAAGATTTTTCACATTTTTGCGCTTCCTCTTTACATCGACGTAAAGAAAACAAAAAGACGTTTTTCAAAATGGCTAAACTGAAGTATAAATCTTCACTTCGTTTAACTACGCTTCGATAATTAAAATAAGCAAAATGATAGAGGCTCTGATGACTTTGCTGAAAGTCAAGCTTGATTACATAATTTCGGCTAACTAGACTGCACTGCCTTGAATAAACATTAACTTCAAAGATAAAAAGAAAATTTTAAGCCTGAAAGGTGTATTGACATAGTTAATAACAACTCATGTCTCTCCTCATACTATGAAGGATCAATCAATCTCTATTAAAATGCGTGTTGCAGTTTATCGTCTTATAAATTTGACTTAATAATTCAGTACTGTTTCGTTGAGTGATTATTAGTCATAAAGAATTAAATAGTTTCAAATAAACAATGTCTTATCGTAGTGGCCCTCAGAACAGATGGATAGAATAGTGAAACTTATTAATCATTATTCATCCATGTTTTCAATATCACTCTTAATATTCAGAATTTCACTCGATATTGGCCAATTTTTGCCTTAAATTTACTAGGTTTTGATATTTGAATCTTGTCCCAGCTAGTTAATAGTTATTAAAGTTGGTTGAGTCTAATTAGCTGAAATTATGTAGTCAAGCTTGACTTTCAGCAAGATCATCAGAGCCTCTTTCATTTTGCTTATTTGAATCACCATAGTTTTAAGTAAACAGTGACTAATGATAGTTTAAATAGAATGAAAAACAGATCAAATGCTTGTACAGTTGCACATTTATTTTTTTCACCCTAAAAATGCTATAGATACTCAATATTTTACTTCTGCGTTCATCAAAATTTACAACACTTTTTTTAATTTCAAATACCAATCATAATACCAATAATTATGATTCGTCAAATTTTAAAGTTGTTTTTCAACATGCTAGCCCTATCGTTCTTTGGACTGTTTTCATCCCGGATCAGGAAACTATTATAAATAAATTAATTATTAATTGTCACCTGAAAAGCTTGAGCTACTAAACCAACATGCACAATCTCTCTCTCTCTCTCAAGTTATTTACCGAAAAGTAAGGCTTTGACAGATTTACTCCGGTTGAATCCATTGTTGACCATTTGGCAAACTGTTTTACTTACGATCTTTCACCGAAAGCTTTTCTCGAAACCTTTTTTAACCCTCGTTCAGTCATATCATGTTCAACTGAGTGTAAACCCATTCAAACCCAAACCTGTGGGTTGGTTTCTGACGTTTTACTCACTTGAACCATTGAGTCGGGCACAGTTTTCATGCTCAGACAAAACGATGTTTCCCTTTTGGTTACCTTAACATCGATTCCTCATTTAAACATTGTTTCATAAATCATTTTTAAATCTCGCTGAATATATACTGTCATCAAAATGGTGATTAAATAATGAAAATATAAAAATAGCGAATGTTAAAAAAGCGCATTTACAATAGCTTTCGCTCTCATATGCACTTTTTACCTTTGTTTATTCAACTTTACTTCCATTCCGGGCAACAAAACTTTTACAATTGAAACTGTAAATTGGTAAAATATTTTTATAATAATAATAGCATTAACAATAATTGTAATTTTTGTTTCGAGGGTTCGATCAAATAGATTTCAACCTTGAAAAGTTTTTCACTTCTTGGCTACTTTTTGTGTCCCTTTGATTGGCCAGTCTTGTACGTATTCAAGTTGATCGGGTAAACACTTTCAAAGTTTATGTCTTTTAAATAAAATTTGATATTTGCTTCAACTTTCAATACAAGCCTGAAAAATTTAGCAGAAAAAATAGTTTTGGTGAATTTTGCTTTTTGATAAACATTAATTGAATTCCATTCTTGCCTTTACAGAACTTTTCTTTTGATTATTCATTAAAGTTTCATTCAGATCCTCGTGATTAATAGCGTTAGTGAGTGTTTTCTGGTGTTTGTTGAGTGAAAGTTTAATGTGTTGTGTAGTGAAGTTTGGCTGTTACTTTTTTTGGGGAATAATTTTGCTACCTTTTTCACCTTTTTTGTCAATTTTATGGAAAAAGGCCTTTAATAAGGCATGTTGGCATCTTTTGGTCGCTTCAGTTGAACCTTAAGGCGTTTCATACCAATCTGGAAACTATTCGTGGCTTGTATCGCATTCTGGGCACTGGCTGGGTTATCAAAGCTCAAGAACGGGACAAAGAAGCGAGAAAAAAATAATTTATTTTTCGATCATAGCAGTCTAATCGACTCCCTTTCGTTAATTGCTAAGAATGTCGATTACCGCTTCAATCTCTAAATTCAGTCATAACAGTTTATTGTGACCAAAAACAGAGTTACCTGTAGTTAGACGGTTAAATTATCAATAATGACTTGAACCTTGACATCAATAGATGGCTCTGCAACGATGAAAAAGAAACACTTTCAAGTTTTTTTCTCTTTTTCTTTTTTCTCCACCAACAATTCATTTAATGGTGAATTTTCAATTTGAACTCAATGAGCCCAGGGTCATCTTCATCTTTTACCCTTCTTCCTCTTTCTCATTTCAATCCAAAGTGAATCTTGAGCCAACCTGTCAGCATGATGAAAAGATATAAAAACGCTGTATCATTATCATGAAATGATAAAGGAATCAATAATGTTCTGAATGATGAAAATTACGAACCCAATAAAAAATGCATTCCATTTACTGGTGAAACTGCTTGGAGGGAATATGATATGTAACAGTCTAGTTACACGGACACAAGGCGTAACTAGCAAGACTTTTAAATCAGTAACCAATCAAGACAATCTGTTTAAATTTAATATCAATCAATTAAATGTAAAAATTGAGAATAACTCAATAGAGATAGATATTAAAGCAATTCTGAAGCGGTTTGCTGGTCAATTTTGTTTGTCCACTAATTCAACAATTGAATATTAGTTTAAATATCATTGTTATGTAAAAATTATTAAAACCAACGCATGAGCGTCTGTACTGTGATTGGTTTAAATCGTGTGTTAAATTAACTCTCCTCCTTGTGTCCGTGTAACTAGACTGTTACCAAGAGATTTGACAATTTTACACTTTTAGCCTTTCCTTTTGTTTCCAATTTTTCAATTATTATTTGATGGTCAATATTTCATTGTTTCGTCATTTGAACGAAACTCGATTGAAACTGTTAATAAAAACACGACACAGCTTGTACAATAATGGCCAATCAACTGAAAGGTTCCAGTGATTTATCGCCATTCTTTTCAATTAATTCATTTCTTGTGAGATAATCTTATCAAAACATTAAGATATCAAATTGTAGAGGCGATTAAGTTGATGATAACATTACTTGTACAATGTTTCCAATCAGTTTCTCTTCTCTCTCATCTCTTGTTCAGTCAATAACCCAAGGGTTCATTTCAAGTGGACTCGACTTTTTTTCTTCTTGCTCTTCATCCGATTTACCTTCCTGTTAACCCTTGAGGTCTTTCTAATCGAAATTTCATGTCGAGAATCAATAAATCTTGAAATATTCTTGCAAACCTTTGGATATAAAAACTGTTTATTCACTTGGTTCACAAGTTGATGATAACATTACTTGTCAGCACTTATTAGCTATTACAATCCGTCGACAAGTTGAACTGTTCAATAATTTTGTTTGTGGTAATGATATTATAATCTTCTGCAACGTTTCTTTCGTTTCCTCATTCAATCCAATTCTCATTGATTCTTGATTAAATTTACTTGATTAGCCCAAGTCTTTTATTCAAATAATTATCTCGTCGTAACACGACCAGGATAAGAAAAGGTAATAGAGTTTCTTCATTTTCCTTCATTGGCAGCGTTTTGATTTCCCGAGTTTCTTTGATATAAAAGTTGTTAGGTAAAGAAGAAAAGACTAGAGAGAAAAGGCTAAGCGAATAATATCGAAGATGATTTTGTGTCAAAGAAGGAGATGGAAAAAGGAACGAAGAAAAAAAGTGTGAAAAACATTTCCCAGCCATTTTTTTTACCTTTTACCTTCCAATTTTACTTTCTCACAATTCCGTCTTCTTATCTTGCATCTTAAATTGATAGAGTCTCACTTTTCCAAATATTAGGTAGTTCAGTTAAGTGCGAATCAAATGTATTTACATAGGTTTCCGATAGGGGGCGATAGCAAAAATCGAATTTTCGAACTTTTTAGCCCAGATTCTTGACCATTTTTATGTGTAAGCTTTTTCTAAAATTTTTTATTGTTCGAACAAAATGTCAACTACTGAATTTCGAGGTGTAATAAGGAACTCATATTTGAAAGGAAAGTCAATTCGCGAAATCCAGGCCGATTTGAATGAAACTTATGGTGATCAAGCCCCTAACCTTTCCTTCATCCGACGATGGTATCATCATGACAAATGTGGACGAGTTGACCTGGAAGATAGGACTCCAACGGGAGCTGCCCTTCAAATTGACTATTCGCTAATCCATTTGGTATTTGGCACTGAGGAGGTAAAGGAGGTGCTAAAACAGCAGCAGCAGCCATTGGATTGATGTAACCCTGTGAAGCGGCTGCTGCTGCCATAAGCGCTTGATGATGTTGGGCATAAGCTGCTCCATAAGAGCCAAAAGTGTTTACCATGAAAGGATTGAGTATGCCCATGTTACCTGCAAGCTGTTGCATACGACGGATCTGCCTTTCCTTTTCCGTGTCTGCAAATTTAACCACAAGGGAAGATGAAGCTCCATGCATTGTTTGACTTCCATGGAGAGCATCAATGGCCGATTGAGCTTCGCCATGTGATGAAAATTTAACAAATGCACAGCCCTTTGACTGGTCATCATGACCACGAAGTATTGTACACTCTTCAATGGTACCAAAGGCTTGCAACAACTGTCTCACATCATCTTCCGATTGTTGCTTAGACAACATTCCGATAAACAGTTTTCTCTCCTCACCACGACCTTCAGAGTCGGATTTCACTTGAATTGCACGGTTCATCTGGAAGAAGCAAAAGAGAGACAAAAAAATATCAACAATAAATCCAAAAATGAGTCAAAACTGATGGTAAAGTGAATGGTCAAGACAAGAAAAGAGAAAAGGACGAAAATGAAAAGAAAACAATCAATCACATGAACCACTGAAAATGTTGATTAATCATGATAGTGTCGACAATCGAGAGGCAAAAAAATATGAAAGAAAAATAAAGTTTATGGAAGGCGAAAAAAAAGTCGAGAAAAAAAAGTTATCAAAAGTAGAGAAACAATGAACATTTAATTTAACTTACGATCTTTCACCGGCAGCTTTTCTCGATACCTTTTTCAACCCTCGTCCAGTCATACATGTATCATGTTCAACTGAATGCAAACCCATTAAAACCTGGGGCTTGGTTTCCGACGTTTTACTCACTCGAACCATTGAGTCGGACACAGTTTTCATGCTCAGACAAAACGATGTTTCCCTCTTGGTTACTGTAAAATCGATTCCTCATTTAAACATAGCAGTCTAATTGATTCCCTTTCGTTAATCGCTAAGAATGTCGATTACCGCTAAATCAGTCATTACACGTTTATTGTGAAAAAAACCAGAGAAACCTGTGTTTAGACAGGAGTCTAGAAATGCAAGTTTATTGGTAATCAAATGGGGTGTGCGCCAAGTGGCGACACTGTTCGCTGCATGTGCGAACTACAAGTGTGTATCATATTACATATTCATTTTTACAAGCAATGCTTGTTTACAATATTTCATTAAGAGAGGAAAGACAGAAGAGAGGAGAGAAAGAGAGGAGAAACCAATAGGGCCAGAGAGAGACTCGAACCCGGGTTTTCATGTGGGATTGTCCAACGCCCTAACCACTGGGCTATGCAAAGGCACCCGACTCTACGCATGCTCGTGTACTTTAACTTTTTGCGAACATTTTAAATCATTTTGCAGGTTTACTTAATGATTTTAAATTACAATAAGTTAATCAGTTACACTCACCTACCAGAAACTGCACCAAGCTGGAAATAGCACATTGCTGTACAAATAGCCTTATTTAAACAGCAACATATCTTTATTCATCAAAAACATTAACAAAATCAAAATTATTTTGATCCATAAGCTCTTCATAAGAGCAACAATTTACATTTAAATTTCTTAATTCAAGTAACAAGTTATTAACATCATCTTGTTCATCTTCGAGATCATATTCATCATTGAAATCAAGGGAAACATAGCCACAATGATTCCAACAGTTCACTATAGTTTGTGAGGAGATTTCTTTCCAAGTTTCATCGATCCATTTTATTGCATCTAATAAGTTAATCTCCTTAATAATATTTGAAATATAACTAGAAGTATTGATTTTTTCAATCACTCTTTTCATTAACTTTGAAATGTATTTAGATTTGACTAAACGATTTGGTCCATTATCTAATGGTTGAGTTAAAGCTGTTGTACCAGCAGGTAAAAATTCAAATGTTATTAATGGAAATTCATCATATTCAACCTTATGACCAGTAAAGTTGTCTAGAAGCAAAATCACTTTCTTATTTTCTATTATGAGTTGATCATGCAAATCTTTCAGCCATTGAGTGAAAATGTTCCTATCCATCCAAGCATTATGTTGTTGCTTGTATTCAATATTGAGGCCATCGAAACAATTTGTAAAAAAGCACCTTGGTTTGGCTGATCGATTAATGATCAATGGTGCCATTTTATCACCTGCTCTATTAATGCAAAATAAGATTGTGATTCTTTCACGAAAAAGCTTATCACCAATATGGTCGGTCTTAGGAATAAAATAAGTTTTTACAGGAGTTTGTCTCCAAAATAAAGCCGTTTCATCACAGTTATAGATAAAAGGAGATTGCCAGTTAATCATTATCCTAGGAATGTTGATCTTTCTCCAATTGTCAACTAACGATTTATCAACTGACAATCGCTCTCCATTTTTTACACCCAACTTCAATTTAGTTCTTTCTTTAAAGCGATAAAACCAACTCCATGTGCCGTTAAAATTGTCATTTAATGTTTTGGCAAATTCAATTATCATTGTACCACTCATTGGTATCCCTTTGTCACTACAATCACGGACCCATTCCAAAATTTGACCATCAAAATCTTTCAATTCAATTCTCTTTTCTAACCTATAACAATAAAATAACTATTAATATATTTCACCAATCTACTTTAAAAGAGACATTTAACTTACCTGGTTCGTTTACTTTGTCCATTTTCATGAGCTTCTTTAAGCGGTTCTCTGTTACCCAAAACTCTATTTATTGTCCAGCGACTGACATTATATTTTGAGCAAAGCTCATTAATGTTTGAGTTATTGTTTTCCCTATCAGAGATAACATTAACTCTTTCTCTGATGGTCAAATTTCTTCGTGGCATCACATAACAAATAAAATATAACAACTAATTACAATAAATTAATGTTTTGTTTCATTAAAAAATGTAAACAAAGGTTACTATGAAAAGAGAAGAACAAGAAGAGGGGCCGTTGAAAAATTTATGTGCAGTTTCTGGTAGGTGCAGTTTCTGGTAGGTGAGTGTAATACCAAAAAATAATCAAAGGGCTGTATTGATAAGAAGTTAGAACTAATAGAAATGAGACAATCTAATTTGATTCAATATTTCAAATGAATTCTCATTTCTGTTAAGAATATGCGATATTTATCAATAGAAAATTTTGTCTTTTGGAGATCTAAAATGCAAAATTTTATCCTGAAAATCAACAAAATTAATTCAAATATCTTGCAATTGATTGCAATTATTAACTTTTTGAATGTTAGCAAAAAGTTAAAGTACTTGAGCATGCTCAAAATGACGAATGCCTTTGGTTCTCTTGACTCCTGTGGCACCCGTTGCCTTGGTTAACAAAGACGCTAAATGCTCTTCTGTGATTGGTTGGGTGCCTTTGCATTTCTAGACTCCTGTGTGTTTAGACGATTTAATTATTTAGCCTTGACATCAATAGATGGCTCTGTACTGCAGAGTCTGAAGCAAAGTACATTAGAGTATAATTTGTTTACTCCGCATTAGATGGAGCTGTGTTTGCTTTTGGAGTTGAACTTTTTTTCATGATCCATCAATGAACTAATTCATTTTTTTCTATTTCTATCAAAATTCAACAGATTATCCTAAAATAGTCCGCGAATAGTTGAAAATGACCTGAATATTTACCTGACATATCGAGGACAAACAATTTGGAGAAAAGTTTTTATTCAATTGATTCAGTTAAAAATCCAATAGCAACATTTGATTGCATTGCTGTGGCCAAAAACGAGTTGGCCAAGTACAATATACAAGCTGATGCAACAAGCATAATCTCGTCAACTGCAACATCCAAAGCTGATCATGGGACGGAAAGCTTCATGTGGTCCAATGAAGCACCCAATCATCACATTCATTTGCAAACAAATTACGGACAAAACATTTACTCAGCAAACTATCAACCAAATTCACCAGCAAATGCTTCCCCGCTCAATTACGTAAGTACACCTTCAACTGATGCAACTCGAGTTCATTATCTCAACATTTTTTTACCTTTGCTTCATTTTTTTCATCTCTCAATTTCAATCACAGGATTCAATGAAAAGAATCAAATTTCAACCAACTTGCATACAGACGGTTCCACCAACAAACTCCAGGGTAGCTTTAAATTCACCTATTCAGCCAATCATTTGGGACACCAGTTTCACAGAGAACAGTCCATGTGAAAAGGTCCACCATTAACTTGAACAAAGGAAAGCAGAGAAAAAATTCAAACTCTGAAAAAAGTGTGTTTGGCAAAGAAAATTTGCAACTTTTTCATCCAAATTTCATCGACAAAAAAAACTCGAGAAAAACTCAAAACTGTGATTCTTTTTTCAAAGTCAAATTAATTTATTTTCAACACTTTAATGTACTATTAAATCAACCAGCATTTGGATTCCAAAAAAACGAAAGGCAAAAGTTTGTCAATAAAAGTCTCTCAATTGAAAATGAAAAGCAATTGAATCTTTATTCTTGATCAGCCAATTTCACGGATAGTGTTTACAATGAAAGAGAAACACTTTCAATTTACTTTTGAAAATCATTTTCCGAACAATTATTCAATTCTATATTCAATTACAATCGGGCCTTTGATCGTTTCGCTTGTTTTGTTCGTTAAATGAGTCTTTTAGAGAAGCGCAAAGTTGAAGCAAAATGACATAATCAATTATTGATAAAGAAAATGAAAAGTTGAGAAAATAGTTTTACCCTTGAAATTTGAATAAAATGTTGAGTTGATTGACTTTGTAATGGTTTTAGAGGAAACACAAACTTTTCTCGTGCAAACTGGAAAACAACGTTTTTCTCAAGCAATGAAACATCAGGGAAAAGAGCAAACAGAAAGGTCAAAATGTCGGGCCAATTTTCACTCAATTGGCTTACTTCGACACTCTACTTGTTAATAACATGTTACATGAGCTTCTTAAATTTCTTTTCATCTTCTTCTTACGAGTAATTCATTTACTTGCAATGTTAATATCAATATCGTGACTCTCTATGAAACTCGAATCTTTGAACAGTTTTCAAAGTTGAACAATTAGCTTTTCCCTTCTTTCCTTGTCTCACTTAACTAGACTCAATGTATTTATAATTTGAAGTCAAAAAATGATGACGACTAGTTGATGAAGTTTACTTTGATAATTACAATATCGTGATGAGCTCAATTTACGATGGTCAACAGAAGAAACCAAAAATTCCAAAAACAAATCTTGTAAACACTAATCAGCATTGGAATAGCCTTAGACTGTCCATTTGTCTGTTATTTTCCTTGTTTCTCTGCTTTGGCCAACTTCATTAGTCGAGTCACTATAATCATGGATGGACAATCAATCGATGAGAAAAGTGGAGTAAAAAAAGTGAAGAGAAGAAAAAAAGTTAACATTGATTTAATCGTTTTTGATGATGATGTTACAAGCCACCATTAGATTATGAGCAACACAATTATAAGTTCATTTTGCTCGGTTTGGAGGGAAAAAAAGGTTTCACTTTTTACTTCACTTTTTTTTCATTGCACTTTGTTACCTGAAACAAACAAAAAATTCAATACTAAATGATGAAATGGTAAGCTCTTGTTTTAGTGGTTGTAATCAAATAACAATCAATCTTTTTCACGATTATCCTCTTAACCATTATAATCATTATCATCAAGTTAGCCAGCCTGATCAATAAAGATGATGGAAAAAGTACACAAGATGATTTTATTGGAAAATGGAGTAATCAAGTGAACATTGTATCAGCTCATCGTCAGTTCATTTCAAGTAATCATTATTCATTATTTCAAGTGAAACTCGATTCCTTATCAAGATTTAAATCGCTGATAAAATGCAACTTTTTGTCTTTCAACTTATCCATGAAAAAGTTACTGGCCAAGCAAAATGATTGCCAAGTGTTTTCGCTCAATTTTTTCAAAATCAATTGGAATTGACTGTACAATGTCAATTTTAATTTTCGAGTTTTGACGTTACAAAGATGTCCAACGATTAAATATATGAGCTATAAGTGTCATTGCTCATCGGAATGGAGTTTGAAATTCTATATGATTAAACGGTACATTCAGTAGTATGTAAAGTTTGGTCTTTGAAAAGAGTATTGTTAGCAACAACAGTAGAGTGTAATGTGAAAGTGTAGATGATAAGTATTGTGAGAAATTGTGAGAAATTCAAATGAAAAGTTGCATAACCACAGCACGCAACATTCCGAGTTGAAAGAAATTTATGCAAATAAGGCATCTGAAGTATAAGACCTCATCTCTTAGACAGCAGATTGATTAATCTTTTCTTGGAAAAGTTGCTCATCTATCTAGCAACATCGAACCCAGGACTCAAAGAGAGTTTCTTTTCTGCTAACATTTAAATCTTCATACTGTGCTAACTGAAAAGTAACTCTAAGCAAGTTAGCCTTTTACAGAAGCAGACGACTGACCGAGGTGATGTGAGCTCTTCCCATCAAGGAAAGTGTCCTTTGAAGCGGCTTCAGTGATTTTTATGTAAAATTGATTTTTCTGCATTTCTAGTATTTCTTTCATTTCGAGCGGAGCTGATTCTCATAAAACCTAATTGTTGCATGATGATAAAATTGACTTTTATTTGGATGACTTAAGATACTTCCTTGTAAGAAGAGAAAGCAGTTACAGGGAAAAATCTGGTAGTCTGAACAAAAGGTACTTGTTGGGTTCGTTTACACAAAGTTTTATTCAAGAATAATTTAAAGGGTGTTAAGGTTTATTTCTTGCAAAATAGAAAAAGGTAAAAGCGATCTTATCTGAAAATAAAGATGAAAATGGTGATAACATGGCGATAAATATGAATCGGTCACTTTCATTTGCTTGGGTATTTTGATTAACCTTTTATCTTTGTGATTTCATCTCTATCTTCAGATAAGATCTTTTTTCTTTCCCCTGTTTTTGCAAGAAATAAACCTTAACACCCTTTAAATCTCTCATCTGAAATGGCATAATGGAACAAGAAAACAATCACCAAACTAGCCAATATTGAACAAAAGCCTTTCAACGAATCAAATTTTTGCATAAATCATCTGCATACAGGATTTGCAAACTGCTGGTGAAGAGAAAAAATTCAATCAAATTCAATTGCTGCTTGATTGCTTCACTTATTTCAGAATTGCTAATGTCATTTGAACTGTACTTTTGCAATTTTCCCTTCTTATTGATGCATGCAAAAATGATGAGAATACAATTGAGACATAAATATTCAGATGAGAGATTCTTGCAAGAAAAAAAAGAGCAAAATGTCTTCAAACAAAAATGCTTTTCTTTTACCTCATTTTCCCTTGTAAAGAAACTCGATTAGTTAAGGATAATCTTTCACAATTTCATTTGATTCACAAAGATTAAACTTGTAAAGTTCACAAAAAAAGTGATTGAAGAACCGCTGCAACTTTCCATTAACTTTTTTTCCATCGCATTCAAAGTGCAAGAAACGAATCCAAAAAAATGAAGTTTTTCACAAAAGTCTTTTTTTCCAAACTTGATAACAACTTGCCGACAAGATGAACGTTGATTGAGTTTTCAATTGAAGAAAAGTCAACAGACAAGACAAGTTGTTTTTTCCAACCGATAATTGGACAATTTGAGAGTTGGTCAAGTGGCCATTATGAGATTCTCATGGGTGGCCAGCTAAAAAGGTCAAGATTTGTGGAAAAAGGTAAACAAGAAATCAATTAACATGAGACAGGTAAAGAAGGCGAAAGAAAACATTGAAACCCTTCATATTCTTGAATAACTCGAGTTACAACTTTATCATGATATTAAAAATGATTGCAATTCTCACAAGGAAAAAAGATAAAAGGTTGATGAGAATCATGTTATTGCTGATGATGAGCAAGAAGAAAGATGTGAAATGTAAACCCTATCATTACGCCTCGAACAAGTGCAAAGAGAATTGGAAATAAACATTTTCATCTTTTTCCATGATTCACATAATCTCGCCTAATTTACCTCAATATTTGCTCACAATGTAAAATTACTTGCC